ATCACCTGGTTCCCCGAGCAACGTAACGTTATCCGGTACCTAGATCCCGGACTAGAACCGTGGAGAACGCGCGCGCGCGCGCTAGTTTTAATCATCGGACCACTCGATGAAAATGATTTACACTCTGTTCCGTGCCGTCCAGTCGCCGTCATTATCCGCAACTACCTAACTACTATTCGATCGACCTTTTCGTACATCTCTTTTCCTCAAAAACATTCGGCGCTTTTACTCGAACGACTTGCCATTCCGGATGATTTATACACCGCTCGAAACCGGGCAGACGGAAGAGGAAAGGGAAGAGGAAGAAAAAGAAGAGGTAATACCTAAGAAAAGGGCAAAGTGGAAGATTAGAGGCGATTATCGTGGATCAGGTGCGCTCACATTCGGCCGTAACTCAGCCGGCTGGACGCGTGGGTGGCTTACCTGTGTGTCCAGACGATGAAAGAGCAACTTCCTCGTACGTGCACCGACAACGAATCCCGTCCGCTTCAACACTTTCCCGATAATCGACCTTGAGATCGTTACACGCGAGAGGATCGATCAGAATCCTACGAGCAGACGGGATAATTGCCCGGAAAGGGCCATCTTAATTGGCCGGGGCTATTAGTTATCGTTTCGCAAAGAACGGATTTCACCATATATTAGCCACGTTCCTTATTCGGAAACCGATATTTAATTGACTAGCCGATCGGTTCGCTATGAATTGCTAAATTGCTAGAAAGCGACGTACCCCTCGCGGTTCTCGACGAGGTGATAAGTCACGCTATTTCGGGGTACCCTAGGAAATACGTGAACCCTGGAACAGAGATGCTTCCGCGTGCAAGCTCGCCAGGTTTGCAGACGAGTTGCAAGCAACGAGTCGAGAGGAACAGGGGGGAAGGTTCTCGTTGAAGGGGAGCACTGGCGAAAAGGACATGATCGGTGAGCCGGCAAACAGGTATAGAGTAGTCCTGGGAACGTCTCGCGATGGTATCACGGCTGGATCTAGAGCAATGGGATTAGAATTACGAAATTACGCGGCTGCGGCGTCGGCGGGCACTCGGATGCCAAAGAGAAAGAGGGCCCAGGAGCCCCGAGTTCGTACAGACCGAAAGATCCAAATCTCTCGCCGATTCTCTCCCCCGTGACGGCGTTGGGGACTGTATCATTTGCTGGATTAGCATAATCACCGGGAACTTTTATTGCGCTGGCCCGCGAAAACGCCACGCTGGTAGCAAATGCGCCGAATGAAATAATGAATAGCACAGTTTCTGGTATTCGATGATTATACGCATCGCGACGGGCAAATTATAGATTTGCGGTTTCGTCTGTTCGTCTTTGCTGCCCGTATCGTGAAACGAACGAGCTGGGAAGGACAAAAGAGAGCGGAGGCGGTGGATCCAGCCCAGAGAAAGACGAGAAACCAGGGGACGGGGGATTACGGTTCGTAGAAGAAAAAGAGGGAACGGGGGGGAGGATGAAATGTGTATACTTGGGAGGGGGTGTAACGAAACGTTTTTGTCCGAAAATTGCAGGTCGACCGGTCCGCGAGCCGAACTTTACGCGTCCGGGTGGACGTGGAATTTCGCGTCCCCCTTCAACCACTTGAAGATTTTTCGAAATTCCGACCCCCTAAATGCGAAATTTAAATCGCACGTCGACGACGTCGAAAGGAAAATTTCAAAGGCGGTGAAATTTCTTTTCTAACAGGAATTGCTAATATACCCTACACAGGTTCCGAATGACTGCTTCCCCGGTGGGACGTGGAATTTCGCCACATTTCGCATCCCCCTTTTCAACCACTCGACGATTTTTCAAAATTTCGACCCCATAAATGCGAAATTTGGATCGCATCATGACGACGACGTTGAAAGAAAAATTTCAAAGGCTACGAAATTTCTTTTCCAACGGGAATCGCTTATAGACCCTGCATACCTAGCGGATGACTGCTGCCCCGGGTGGACGTGGAATTTCGCCACATTTCGAGTCCCTCTTCGCGCCACCCTTCGTGTCCCCCTTCGCGTCTCGTTTTCAATCACTCGACAATTTTTCGAAATTCCAACCCCTAAATGCGAAATTTGGATCGCGCCACGACGACGACGTCGGAAGAAAGTTCTCGAAGACGTTGAAATTTCTTTTCCAACGGGAATCGTTTCTACACCCTGCATACCTACCGGATGACTGCTGCCCCGGATGGCTTCCGGTGGCGCGATCCGCGAGCAAAGGATACGCGTGCGTGAAAGTTTCATCGGAGCATCACGCGTCTCGTGATTCCATGAATAGATGGGGAGGCTGGATAAGAGCAGGGTGCAAGGAAGAAAACGCGACTGTGCCCGTGGAAAGCGGAGAAAAGGGGAAAGCGCGTACAAAGCTCGGCTGCCGCGCGAGCGCAAACATCGCGGCTAGGAAGAATTAACCAAGAATAAAGAATATCGCGCAGAATATGCATGGATCTTTGTATAACTTGTTAATTACATCGCGCGCAAACATTCGCGGGTTTCTCGACCGGCGCGAACAAATCTGTTTATTCCTCCTTATCGAAACGGTGGGTAGGGCGAGCGTTTCTTGTAATTAAAGTCGGCTAATTATTTTCCTTCCCTCCTCGCGTTTCGTATCTCTTGGCCAGACTCCGGCAGGGGTATTTTAATACCGAAAATAGCGACGTTCGGTGTCTCGGGCTGGAAACCACGGCGAGTCAAAATTGTTAGAAAGTCATTGGCGTCGAATGATGTAATGGCAATAGTTAGACGCGTGATGATCCACGAGGGGCGAGAAAAAAAGCGAGTTTCGAAACAGTGGATGGACAAAGTGGGCGGCGGAGACGCTGAAAAACACGGCGGAATGACAAAACGAGGCAAGAAATACCAGGTATTAAGCATGAGTCTCAGAAAATGAGTGTTTATGGCTCTTATGCCGCAATTATTATCAAATAAAGAGTCGTTTATGAGGCCTGCCTGCAAATGACACTCGAGTCTTCGTAACCTGTAATTCTATAGTCGTTGCGTCCACGTGACCTTCGAATTCGGGAAAATTTTTTCGCTCCTCTTTCTAACGTCTCTCGAGAGTCTCTCTTCACGACGAAATTCTAACTCCGTGCAGAAATCTCTTTCCGATATATTTCCACACCTCTACATATCGTCAACGATACCGTGAAAATTTTCTACTCGCCGAACTGGTAACAAAAATTGTTTGTTCTTAATTATTTTCGAAACAGGGGGGTTCTGAAAATAATTTCGATCGAATGAAAAATGGGAAAGAAGGGAACAGTTAATTTCGGGTACGGGGTAACTACGCGGGAGGAGTAATTAGAGGGAAAACTATCCGCCAGCCACGAAGAGCGTGAATAATTTCACGTTAAGCGAGCGTGTAACGTTACACGAAATGCTCAGGTGTCAGCTCGACGCCAGAAGACGAGGGTGAACTGTCAAGGGGTTCATCATCGACAAAACGAAATTGGAAAATTACACCGGCGACCGGTCCCAGGGAAATTATTTCCTCGGACAGCGTCTGGCTCTGTTTCGTAATAGTTCGAAACTCGAACGATACGGCACGATTTCAGTGCCGTGACTAACTCTTGGGAACAGGTGGGTTTAGTCTAGGCCAATTATACGCCCGGTCGTTATTAACTTCGTGGAACGAAAACATCATTCCGGTCGGTGTTACGGGCGAATTTCTTTCGCCTGGATTTCTCGATCGTCGCGAACGACCGCTGAGAAATTAGTCCGTAGGAAAGAAGGCGCGATTCTTGTGGCATAGCGGTACCGCGAGTTAGAGAGGAAAAAGATTTCCATCCGTGGGAGTATTCGGTGGCGAGAAAATCGAGACGGAGAATTCGTTAAATTCGCGAGCACGCCCGCCGAGCGTTCGTTAATTCGCCTCTACATTATTCATTGTTTTGTTATAATTTGCGTTAACGAACATCGACGATGACTCTATTTGCCTGCTATCGCTGCTATCATCTAATTAATTCGCAACTTCTATGAACTCATCGCTATACCGGGGCATAATAACCGCGTATTAATGTACCGCTTACATTGCGAGCTTGTTCTTCCTCGTACGAGTCTATTACTCGCAGACGGTAAAAAGAGCAATCTTAATTGACATCATCCAGATCGATGAGTAACGCGATAATTAAACGAGCCGACATCCATCGCAGACGCAGAGAGAGAGAGAGAGAATTGCGTGAAACTAGAATAGGGAGAATGGAGGATATTCGTGGATGGAATTATAAATTGAAACTAAGTCGCAGCTAATTTACGCTTCCCGTCGGATTTTCTGAAAACTCGCAACCTCGCTGAAAGGCTGGCTTGCAGCTTAATCGCGCCGCAAAACACACTGCGGCACGTGAACCGTGAAGACATTAAACGCAACCTGTTGGAACTGATTGGAAAGTAACGCGACGAAACGGCGAATAAATCATAGCCGGTGATGGACTGCGAATGGTTGGCAAGCGATTGGTTGGTTGCACCGTGAAATCATAGTTTGTTGAATTATATAACGCGAAAGAATCCACGGGAAGCAATGCGTGACGCTGTGGTCGGCGGATAAGCGAGATTCGTCGCGATACGGCCGCCGTGTTATTAAGATCGGTATCTCCGGTTCGTCTGTGCGCGAGTTCGAGTAGAAATTACGCGAGCTGAAAATTATACGCGCGATAGGGGAGAGGTAATCGTTAATAAGGGCCGCGGCGCGTCTAATCCGAATGAGATAATTTAAGGACTCGGAAGTGGAGCTGCGCTTCGAGTTTCCAGAGCTCGCGACCACGTTGCGTTCCATTTCACCGATTTCGTCTCGAGGAACGAAAGAGGAAGAAGAAGAACGGACATTGTGTCTCTGTAACACCGCGTTGTTTCTCGTTTTATCGGCTGTTTCGAGAAAACGTTGCAGGGGGTCCTCTCCCCACGATTGTTGGATGTCACTGGTCGCAGGTGCCCTCTCTATGTACGCCGATGGTACTAGAAGGGACGAAAGGAAAAGGAAGGGATGCGTATTTTGGGCCTGCTAGTGGACTCGTCCGTAAGTATTTCGGGCCTGCTAGTGGACTCAGTAAGTATTCTGGGCCTGCTAGTAGACTCAGTAAGTATTCTGGGCCTGCTAGTGCACTCGTCAGTAAGTATTTCGGGCCTGCTAGTGCACTCGTCAGTAAGTATTTCGGGCCTGCTAGTGGACTCAGTAAGTATTCTGGGCCTGCTAGTGGACTCAGTAAGTATTCTGGGCCTGCTAGTGGACTCAGTAAGTATTCTGTGCCTGCTAGTGGACTCAGTAAGTATTCTGGGCCTGCTAGTAGACTCAGTAAGTATTCTGGGCCTGCTAGTGGACTCAGTAAGTATTTCGGGCCTGCTAGTGGATTCGTCAGTATTTCGGGCCTGCTAGTGGACTCAGTAAGTATTTTGGGCCTGCTAGTGGACTCAGCAAGTATTTCGCGGACCTGCTAGTGGACTCGTCACTAAGGCTATCTGGCAGGCCCTGCCTTAGACCGAGATACTATTGGAAGCTTCTAATTTTCGCTTCTCGGGAAGTTATATATATACGAAGCGGAGGTTTTCCGAGGACTTGCGAGAAAGTCCTCGAACCTCCTCAAAGTTGGAATCCATCTAGTGGCGAGGGCGAGAATGATGCTCGCTAGAACGTTGGCTCGCTGTGGGAATTGCGAGGAAACCGTGGAATCGTTGGATCCGTAGAGGCTCCATCGCAACGGGACGAGATCTCTCCTCGAGATTCAATTGGCGGATACCGAAGATCATGAGCGACCATTTTCTCCCGAGAAGCGAAAGGTTTTTGCGCGACCGCTCGCCATGCTTGTTGCTCGTTGCGAGATCCGTTCGACGCGGAAAAATGATCGCCTTTACGGCTTAATCGTCTTAACTAGCCTCGGTGATACCGAGAAACGATTATTCCATGGATCCTGCGCCACGTTCGCGAGCCATTTTTTGGCTCGCCGCTGTTGAGAACGGCACTTTGCGAAACGACGCTGGGACCGCGGTGCAAACCGTCGAAATGGAAACCACGATTTCTCTGCGATCGGTCCGGGGGCAGAAGAAACGGTTTAATTAGCGTCGTTCCGGGATTATCGTGAGAAAGTGTATTTTATCTGGACGCAGGGCGGGAAAGAAACGAATAATCGTGCGGATTATGGGAATCGGGGATCGTTACGAGTTGGTGAAATATTCGAAAGTTATTCCTCTCGATTACCGAGGTTTTACGGGATTTAAAGTAGTCGTTGCTCCAGATAGCAGTGATCGATAATCAATCGGAAAGGCCACTTATTTGTTACATGTCTTCATACGCGGGAACTTTTATAGTCGGCTAAAGCCGTAATTGCACGGACCAATGATACCCGAGCGAAGCATTCAACCACCTCGTTAGACATTCGTCGGACGTCTGGATGGTTACCGGGTTCGTACAATTTGATGCAGTTACTATCTCGCAGGCCGGTCATTTACATCTAATCGAACGTTTTCTTCGACTACCCTGGCTACGCGATCCGGCCGCGTTGCTATCGTCGGATAGCTTTAACGACATCGGCGACCGGTCGTAAATCAGTGAAACCGTCTTAGAAACGGCTAGAACATCGCGATAGAAAGGAGAGAAAAGGGGCAAGAAAGGGTGGGAAAAGGGGGAGAAAAGAGAGGCGAAGCGTGCGGGAGCAATTTGCAGCATGTGCGACACACGGCTGGTCGCGGCTGACCGCGGCTGACCGCGGCCATCCGCGGCGCGGCGCGACGAGAGAAGAAGCGTACTCGAGCGGGCGCAGCAGTGGCGAAGAAGCGGACTGCGCGGGCGGCGGTGTGCATCGTAGTCGAAGAAAGCGCGTGGTGGTCGGGGATAGAGGGAAGACGAGCGGCTGGAAAAAGAGTAGAGGGAGAGCAGCGGCAGCGCACGGAGGGGCCCGATCGAGCGCCAGGCTTTGCAAAGAGGAGAAGCGGGGCCAGAGGGACAGTGTGTAAGAGGGGCCTGACACGCGATGCCTGCCCCGGGGAAGCAATCACGCGGCGGGCGGCGGGGGCGGGCCACGAGAGGGGGCCAGAGACCACGTTGCCTCTTCCTCTCCTTCGCCCCGTGCCTCCTACACCGGCCACGGTCCCCTGTCCCCGCTCCTGTGCCCCCACCTCCTTCATTCGTGCACCCAAGTCCCCCTCCGGCAGCGTCGAGCCGCCTCGACGACTCAACCTGCCAGCCAGCGCCTCGAACCTCGGTCCCCGTATCCCTCCTCCTCCCCCACGAATCTCCTCCTCCCGCTGATCCCCTTACGTTTCACCCAGGGGTCCGACAAAAAAAATAGTCCCCCTCTGTATACGCTGCAGCAACCCGTAGCAACCCTAAGAAGGGTCTATACTCTTTTTCCCTCCACCCCCGTCCCCCTTCGGGCTGGTTCGCGCCGTCGCTCGCCGCCGCCGCCGCCGCTCACTGCCTTCTTTCCTCCGTTCTGTGCCCTGCCCTCGTGGATTACTCTTCGGGCTCGACGCGCACTGCTACGGGGCACTGTGATTACGCCGCATAGAGGTACGACCACCGCCGACAAAACGAAACGCGATCGGAGCGCGAAACAGCCGGTAAGGCTCGTCCGTTCTCGTAATGAGTATCGCCTAGGTGTTCTTTCGCCGGTGTACCCCCGGCCGCTCGGAAGGATTTGTTGCACCAGCTCCGGGGGATCGAATGCGCTCCGTCTTTTCGATCGACGCAGCCTGCACTTTGATTCCTTTCGTGCCGCTCGCTAACAGCCGGACGATACTCGAGAACCCTCTATGATCCTTTTATTTTTCTTCTCTTTCTCTTTTTCCACCGCGTCTTTTCTTTCTCCACCGCATCTTTTCGCCTCGTTCTATCGCGGACCGAGCGATCGACGCCTTCGAAACGTCGTCGAGGAGAAGCTTGGAGAGAGAATCGGCGGAACTGGTTCCCCCTTATCTTCGACGTCCGATTGAAATGCTCCCGCGGTAATAATAAATAGCGCGATCGGTTTCGTTACGCGTGTTCGGTCCGCGAGATACGAGCGGCGGCGAGCTGGCAGAGCGAAACAGGATTACCAGCGCGCCTCTCGTACGATCGGAGTAGCTCTCGTAATGAGCGTCGGCCCGGACACCCTACGGGGGTGCAGTGTATCTCGCGTGATTCGTGGCTGAACTCTTGTCATCCAGGCTAGTTCCTGCAATCGATTAAAACATTCGATTTGGTCGGAATATTTATCGTCGCGTTATTAAGCTATTTCAACGGGCGAGCACTCGTAGCCATCGGGGGTGCGAGGAGGGAGCTCTCTTCCTGGCGATAAATCACCGGCAACGTAATTATAGAAGTAGACCTCCGCGCGATGATAAAACGAGGAGCAACCGTAACGCTAGTCGCTCGGCGTCGCGTCCGACGCGTTCGAGCCCGTGTAATTTCCACTTTTCACCCGGTCCGTTTACCGCGCGTTAACCACCGCGTAGCCACCCCTTTATCACCCCCTCGTGCACGCGCGCGACGGATTAAGGACGTACGTTTCCGCGATCGTTGTCCTATGGCGCCGTGGCAATTATTAATCCGCGAGATCGGCGGATCCGCGCGAACCGTGGCGAAATGGCAAAGAGGAAAAAGGAAAACGCGTGGAAGTCGGCGGTAACGTTGCCGGGGATACCTACCCTGAAACGGTTGGCCGACACGCGAGAGGAGTCTGTTCTTCGGTGTTCGCAACGAGATTGTCGTTGTACACCGATTGTCGGCAGAAACGTCGGCGCGCGAGGGGGGAATCAAGGGTGGAGAGCCGGTCGTTATCTAGAGAAGGACACGCGTAGGGGAGAAAAGGCGGAGGAGCCGGGCCGGAGCGAGAGGAAAGGACGAGAAGAAGAGGGCATCTGCAGCTCCGGGGCTAACTATGTAAATGAGAACGGAGAACGGATCGCCTCGGTTCAATAGACCTTCGACCCTTGGGTCCGGATAATTTGTTTATGAGCAACGCACGCGGCTATCCTCCGTATCCGCCGCGGGGTAAGAAGCTGCACGGTCCATCTCGCTGCAGATTCTATACGGGGCCTCCTTCATCCAGGCGGTCGCGCGACCAGGACGGGAGAGATCTGCTATACGATTTACATACGATTACCGGGCAAAGTGAAGGCACGCACACCCACGCCACGCAAACGAAAAGAAGGGAGCACGGCAACGTACCGGCAGTCCGTGGAAGGATACACCTGAGAGGAGAGAGAGAGAGAGAGAGAGAGAGAGAGAGAGAGAGAGAGACGAGTAGGCATCGAACGAGGACGAACGAGAGAAAGAGGAAGAGACAGAGAAAGGGACAGACGAATCGAGACGAGAGAAGTCGCGGACGAAGATGAAGCGGAGGAGACGAGGACGACGAAGTTGGAGGTGGAAAAGAAGAAACGAGTATAAAACGGCGACGCCGACGTCGAGGACGTCGAGGACGTCGACGACGACGACGATGATAATGATGATAATGATGATGATGGTGATGATAATGATGATGGTGATGATGATGATGATGGTAATGATGATGATGATGGTAATGATGATGGTAATGATGATGATGATGATGATGATGATGATGATGAAGATGATGATGATGATGATGATGATGATGATGTAGAAGAAGGTGGAGAAGAAGGAGAAGAGAGAGAGGAGGAAGAAGATGGAGGAAGAGGCCCGTCCACGGGGAGGATCGCGGAGAGCCGTTCTGGATTCGAGTCCCGGGGCTGTCGGGATGTCGATGAGCGGCAGTCGGCGTGGGCCGCTCAGTAGGACGCCAGCAACCTGAAGAAGCCCGCACCCTTCGGGCGAACTCACTCGGAAACAATGCCTACAACCTGCGGGACACTGCGCGCCTCCCTCCGACGTCTACTTTTACTTCCGTTGCAAAAAGTGGAAGGCCGCCTCGAGGACCGGGTCGAAGGTGACCACCGTTCTAACGATTCCGTTCGATCGTTCTTCTTTTTCTCCCTTCCCTGCCCTTTTTTCCCTTTTCCCTTTTCCCTTTTTTCTTTCTTTCTCTCCGCCGGGTTCGAGGATTGAATTCGAGAAGTAGCTTTGTGGCGTGTGAATAGAATTAAAGTGGGACGCTCGGCGTTGAAAGTAGCGGCGTAGGAATTTATGTCGACGACGTGGTCGCGCGTTGCGACCAACCGAACGACGAGAATAACGAGACGCGTGCGGACGTACGACGAAAATTGACATAAAAGCTGGTATTTCCTCGAAATGAAATTTTCCCGTCGCCAAGGGGTGATAATTATTCTCGTATCGAGGAACGAATAAGTTCATTGGCGTCTGGGAGCAATTTCGAAGGACGCGCGTGTGCGTGTGCTTTGATAAAAATGAAACACTTTGTACGAGGCGCGATGACGTACACGGCACGTTCATCGATTCGACGAAATTAATTTCGCATTTCCGAAATATTATTTTTCGATTATTACACGCGTGATGAATAAATTTCCCGTCGCGCATTTCCGCTCTTCTCATTTGATAGAAAATCTGCCGAATATGCATACATACATATGCATGCACGCATATACATATTAGAGCACTCTGGTCTCATCGCTATTCATCTGAACGCGTATTTAGTTGTTCCCATAGAAAAGCAGCGTGCTGCATTTTCAACCTCGTCAAAACATCACTCTACGTCGATGCTGATAAACTTGCCGGATTTATTCCGTGGAAAATTCACTGTGCGTTAAAATGGCGGACTCGACGCAATTTCCGAAAATTCCAATTACCTCGAGAATACACTCCGGCTAAATAATCGTCACGACGATCGTGCGAATCGATCCACGAAACGAGATTCCGTTATTTCCATGTACTTTGAACAATCCAAAACGAAGCATCGAGAGTGGAAGGTGTTAACCCTGACGTTTGGGCGAGAGAATCGGGGTAGTTGCCGTTTTCTAACGAAATCGTGAGAAATTAGCGGTAGCCTCGTTCCAAGCTCGTTCCAGTATCGTTAAAAGACAAGAACCACGAGAGTTCTTAGAACGCTTTAAGCGACCGCATACTTTCACTCGACGGTTCGTAGAAGTTCAAATGTCAGGAACAGAAGGGTAACATTTAAACCGTATTTCTCGAGCCATTACTCTCTTATGCTTTCTTGCTCGATTACGTGCTCGCACGCCGCTAAGGCTCTATTCCACGTCGAATAACTCGCAAATTCACGCTCGATGACAGTCCAGCTGATAACTCTGAACTTTACGTTATCCGACAAGCGATTAACCCACGGACGTATTACCAACGACGTTCGATCTTTAACAGACTCTCGGGTCGTTTAATTTATTCGCGAAATGTAATTGCCCGTTGCGCACAAACGAGAGGTACTACACGCGGAAAATGATCGGTTCCATGGAGAAAAACGTGCTATTCCCGAGTCGAATCCAGCGTGTGCTACTTCTGCTGGATACTGTTACCGGCATCCGACAACAGGGCCTGCCCCACTTCGAAGGAAAAAATGGATCAAGATTTCCGATAAGGAGGCGATATTTCACGGTGACAAAATGTAGCATTAAACGCGAAAACGCTGAAACAGGTCCCCCGGGGGAAGTTGAGCGGCGCTACGAATTTACAGAGTTTGTCCCAAGTATAGTCTATTACTCGAAATGATACGGCAGAAGTGGTATCAGTCTGCCATGTAGAAGCTTTAAGAACGGACATAATTTATACGAAAATATACCTCTAACGCAAACATCGCGATGAACATCGATAACCATCATCCTCCGTATCATTACACGCTTGTCACATCCCTGAAATGATACCTCCTCGAGTCGCGAGTAATTCTAAAAACTCGACTCGTATATCAAAAAGCACGGCAAAAGGGAATGTAAACCTGGCGATTCCTATCGACTGCTCGGCCGTGAGGAACCATAGCGAGCAACGCCGTTGCCATCTTCGACCCCCGTTTTCACGTATCGCACCCTAACCTTTCGCCGAAATCGCGGGCTCGACGGTTTCGTCTGATGGGGAAAGAAGCACGCCGGGAAATACCCCCGAGGAACCCTGGCGAATCGAAGGGCGAGTAACGCTAGGCACGAGGGATCAGCCGGGGATGCCCGGTGCCGCGCAAGTTCTTCAGACGCCATGTAGCCGCGGCCGCCATCTTGTAATTAGGGGATCAAGAAGGCATCGCTTTAATGAGCTGCGAGGCTCGTTCACTCGCGACGAGCGATACAGCGGGTAAAGAGAGAGAGAGAGAGAGAGAGAGAATAGAGGCAGCGTGCTGCAGAGCGGGATATGACGCGGCAGAGGGTGCGGGGTAGAAGAGGAGGGGAGGGGCAAGCCTGATGGGTAAAAGCAAAACGTGCAATATAAAAGCACGTAGTGAACCGGGAGTGTAAGGGCAAAAAGGCGCGCTCCAGGAAAATATTTCATACGAGGCGTCGGGGACAGGGGCAAGGTGAAACGAGGAGGGACGGGGAGGAGACCAACGGTTGAAGAGCAGAAGGAGCAACGCGTAGAGGTACAAAACGGCGGCGCAACCGAGCGAACGTGGCAGAGAGTAGAGGGAAATGAGAGGATTAAAAAAAGGAGTAAGGTAGAAAACAGTAGTAGTAGTTGTAGTAGTAGTAGTCGTAGCGATGGTGATGATGGTGATGGCGATGGTGATGGTGACGGTGGTGGTGGCAGTGGTGGCAGTGGGGGTCGTGGTGGTGGTAGACGTAGTAGTAGTATAAGAAGATTATAGAGAAGACGAAGAAGAAGAAGAAGAAGAAGAAGAAGCAGCGGCAAACGAAGGAGCGAAGAGGAGAATAAAGACGACGATGAAGCGGTGGAACGAGAGAGGTGCGGATGAAGGCGAGGATGATGTAGCAACGAGTGGAGCACGCGGAAAGGATATGGAAGATCTCGGGAGGAGGAAGGAGAGGAAAAAACGAGAAGCAAGCGAGGAGGAAGTAAGACGAAAAGAGAGAGAGAGAGAGAGAGAGAGAGAGCCGGTAAAACGGGCAGGGGGTTGGGGGATTCAATTGCAATAAAAGCAGCGTGGCGGTAATCTTAGACGGTGAAGGCGTAGGAGAAGGAGAAAGAGGTCTGGTAGGTCGAGCCACTGCACGAGTTACGTATGAGGAATCCGCCACGGGCGTGGCCACATCAACGAGTGCGCGAGCAAAAGCTTCTTCGCGCGATTTTTTCGCCGTGGCGAGCGTTACGTGCGCCCGTGGTGGTGAACGTAGACGCGTAACGTTATATAGCACCCTGGCATTGAGACCCGAACGTAATGAAAGGTCCAACTTGCAACTCTTAGCCGCAACTACCTTTCAGCCTGATATATTCACGATTCGGGCAATCTCCGACTCCGATGTGCTCTATCGAATCGATTTCGCCCCGAGTCCATGCGTCGCGGCTTCTATCGCTTCGACTTCCTTCCAATCGAACCCGGGGACCGTATATCATCCACGCCGTTCCAAGAAATCCTGCCGCTTCGAGGAAAGATCCGAGATTTCCAAGCCATTCCCACCTCCCTCGACTTCACACGTTTTCGCGGATAAATCCGACGTTTCCGCATTCGCCCATCTACCTATTCGTCTTTGCTCGATCACGCGACGGCTTTACGCGAACAGTCGAATTAATACCGAAGCGAGACTGGGTCCCTCCCCGAGTGGAGAAGGTTTAAAAGCTGCGCGTTCGCGCCAAGAGACAAGGCGCGCGGAATTACGTGTAATTTACTCGGCACAAGGTGGAACATGTGCGGACGCGGCTCGCATGACTTCCAACTAAACACACCTTGTATCGAGTAACAGTTAATATCCTATCGCAATCGTTCTCGCTATAAAATACAGCCAGAAGAACACGGCGTATCCGCCAATCAGCCGGCCAACGGGGATAGCGCGCGTTCGTTCCGTGGTGTACGGACGCTTGTAAAATATAACCAATAAACGACAAAGGGTATATCCTCTGCACGCGCAGCACCTTTCAACGAAACACACGTGGGAGCAGCGGCAGCGGCTACTCCCGTATCGCAGCAACCCCAAGGTTTTTTCCTTTCGGGTCGACCGCTGACAACGTTGTTAAAACACCGGTGCAAAAGAACGGGGAGGCAGATACGTGCTAGATAGGCAGGTAACGCGCGGAGGAGGACATCAACTGGCCGAGTGACCGACATGCGTAATTGCACGACAATGCCTACTACTACGTTCGTTGTTCTTTCGTTACACTCGCGTCCCAGTTTCGCAACGACGCGCGACGAGCAGACGTTTATCGCGCTACCGAATCGAGCAGCCTCGAGTGTCGAACTCGTTAAAAACGCCAACCTCACGAAGCATCCACCACCCGCCGTATTTTTTCGTAATCGTTCTTAATCGCCGTCCTCTTTGGGAGTCGTTACGCGTTCCTCTCCGTCACGAACAGCGTCGCGCGTTCTACGTACGCCCTCGTACCCCGAGAGAACGCACGCACGAAGAATTCTGGCATTTCTGCGTCGCGCAACAAAGAGAACCTTGGCGTAATTGACCGCCACGCAGGTGGCGCAGTCACGAGCCTGCCTTTCTCGTCGTTCGTGCGAGACTAATCTTCGAGAGGAGATGCGCCGTTCGATAAGATCGATGCAATTGTTATCGTTCGCGAGTCGCCATTGTCGTCGTACATCCAACAATTCGTGGACCGTGTTTCGAAACGTGTCCGTATCGCGTTCGATCGTTGCGAGGATCGATCGAAAGGTAAAAAGATCTCTACGCGATACGGAGATGTACAAGGTGTACCTCTAATTTGCTTACGTTCAGGTGGCGTCTTAGCAACCTCTCGGGAGGCATCGAGGGGGCAACGAGGGGCCAACGTAGAGGTAACGAGGGGGTTTCGAGCTTAAGAAAATTATAAGAAAATTATCGTTTACATCGACGAGAAGCCACTAGTAGGATCGTTATTCGCCGAGCAGATAGGAGACGCTTCGCCTTGAAGCACGATTTCTGAGGAATCGAAGCTCGACTCGTGCCTAGCGAAGAAAGCGAGGAAACGTCGAGAGCGTTTCCGATCCACGCGTTAGGACATGTCCGATATAAATCAAAGCATCACCTCTCGTATAATAAACCTCTTTAAGTCGGACGATCTGTTAACCGTCCGACTCGTTAAAATCAACAAACCCGTACGAGCGAATCAATCTCGGAATCGCATTACTTTAATTCTACGGCGCGAAAGGGGATCCACGAGCCAAGGTGTAATGAAAAGATCCCGGGCAAATTGGTCAGCGTAACGACCATTTTATTTCGGGGGGGCCCTGTTTAATCCGAGTGACCGGCGACGTGTTATTTGCTCGTCTATGATAGGGCCCCGTTGCATCGCTTTGACCGGGCACACGTTGCCGGCAACGTGCTTTTAGCACGACCGAAAAAGTTACTCCGTTTACGCCGGCTTCACCTCGTGAATCAGATACAGGTATCTGCAGCATAATATATCACACAAGAACGTTTGGCTCTGGGCCCTCGGGACATGCGGGTGTATAATCTTTGGCCGGTCGAGCGGAGCTAAGAGTTTGGGCCCAATTACAGGGCCAGTACCACCGAACGAACCAACGGATGGACGGACGGACGGACGGACGGACGGACCGACCGACCGACGGACGAAAGAAAGAACGAACCAACGCACGCCTCCACCTTCCAGAGACTTTCGAGCATCGCGATCACCGCGCGGTACCGTGTGCGTGCCGGTGTGTCTGTGCCTCGTGTACGTTTCGTGATGCTGAAGCCAAGGACGTACAGGAATTTGTAAAGACTCGCCACGCCGGAAGGGGATAAATGATAATGGCCTCGAACCAAACTCCGACGTTCTGCTAATTTCTCTTCCTCTCGTTCCCTTTCCTACCCGCTCCTCGATCGATCGCGGCCCGGCACGATCCCTCGCGATGATAACGTCACTTGGCCGAAGCTCAAGCCGCACAGCCGTATACGAATGACGCGCTTATTTATTAACTTTACGATACAGGGTAATCGTTTCGGTACCGAAGAAAAATTGTCCCCCCTCGCGATATTGTTCGCGTTACAAATGACTCGTACCGGCTACGTTCCCTGTTATACCTTACACTCTCCCTGTATCTTTGACCTTATCTCGGAACGCGTTGCTCCGCTTGTCGATGTACGGACCTCGACGAAGTTAGCTCCTTTGTAAGATTTAATTAAGGTAAAGATACTCGTTGGAGTACCTTATCTGGGAAGGACAAGCTACTCGTCTTGCACCACCGGCAGATTCGTTCCACGCAAAATGGAAAATACGCGAGTGACGAAGGAAACACGAGTGGAATCGAAACAAGGTCCTCCCTTATCGCCTGTTATCTCGCGATCTGACAAGCATCCGATACGTTTCTTTCCCTTTCTTCGTCTGCTAAGTGTCGACGTGCAACTTACGAGACGAATCGCGTTTTTCCCTTTCCGTTAATCGTTTAATTAACTTCGTTCGATTATTCCCATATTAATATCTTATCGTTGTTAAAACGGATTTATCGATATCGGACTTAACGCGTTATCGCCATCCCTATCATCGATAGAGAAGAGAGAGAAAAGAGTAGGTGGAGGCGATAAAACCCATGCAAAATTATCCCTACGGAGGTCCACGACGAGAACTCTAGGTACGCGACAAAAAGCACGGCGGCAATCACTTTGGGCGTGATTTCTCTTTAAGCCACGCGAAGATTTTATTGTCAATGGGTGGTCGCTCGCGACGTCAGGCCCGAAGAAAGAATGCAAGCCAGGGGTCTCTTCCTGGCCGGACGTAGCCAGGACTTCTCGGCTACATAATTAGCCGACATCTATCAGCCCGGAGCTATCAGCCCCGTATCCAGACTGGAACTACCCTTGAATCCACATTGTACACGGCATTTTTTACCATCGAATGGGACAAAATTATCTATAAGGCGTACGCGGCACCGCTTACCTTTCTGCGTGCAGGCCTAGTATATACATCGTCATCGCATCGTTAACTATTATTAAGGCCAATTATATTTCCTCGTGGACGTTGGGTAAACGCCGTGAATGGTAGTTAATTACTATTAAGACGTTCAGCGAAAAGGGAACGGTATTGCCTGTACCAGAAGGCATTATTTCAGCGTATGAAGTCATTTAGCGAATGCCGCAGTTTCGCTCTGGATCGTGATAAGAATGAAAATTAGCCGCATTAACGGTAAACGAAATCGTAAACGGGCAAACAAAAGTAGCAAGAAAAATGCGCAATTGCGTGTACTTGCCGAGATAACGATCTGATAAACATGATCGAACGAGATAAGATTAAAGCGATACGATACTTAATAGCCAACGAGGCGAACATCTTCTCGGATCTTTTCTCGAGAAAACTTCCGAGTTATCGATAGATAATAGCAGAGATGTTTATTACATAATTATCCACGAGGCGAGTTATCGTGCAGATTTTCCACGAGGCGGTTCAGACTGCCATGCGTCACTGTCACCGGTCAACTGGCCCAAAATCACACGTCTGGGTGCAGGCAACGTGACAAATAAGCGGCTCACGCGAACGAGAAGGAGTTAAACGAACAGCTTGCAACGTCGACGCGTCGAGCCGAGCTTATCGGTCACCATCTTGCCTGTTTTTCCAGCCCCGGTATCGTTGTTAGCCGTCATTTAAATGGAATATAAAGGAAACGGCTTTTCGTCGTTCGTGACATTTTAAAAGCAATTCCCTATCCGCGATACGAGCATGGTGTTACCGTAATCGCGCCATTAATGCCCGATACAAGATGAAAAGGAT